CATAAATTCTTTACATTTATATAAATTCTATATAAAAAAAAATCTTGTAGTATTGAATGATGTTCTCTCACTATCTGAAAAAACTACTTGTAGATTAGAATTAGAATCAACAGGATGAATGAAGTTTTGAAAGTGCAAAGTTAAACAAGGCGCTAAATCACCCCTTAACACAGCTGGTCTCTTTACACAAAGGTTTACAAGGTGCTAAATCACCCCTTAGCACAGCTGGTCTCTTTACACAAAGGTTTACAAGGTGCTAAATCACCCCTTAGCACAGCTAGTCTATTTACACGCCACACAAGGCTGAGTCAAAATGCACCGGATGCTTTTATGCCACAAGAATTCATCACTAAGTAGATATAACAGTCTGCAGGAGATGTAGGGGTCTAGCAGAGGTTCCCATCTTCCTCCCTACCTCCCCCTCCCCCTGAAGTGCCTGCAGCTCCCGCTTGTAGGTCTTCTTCCCGAGGGTCTCGTAGATCTTGGTCATGACAGGGATCTTCTCGCTGCCGTCGCTGATGGCCGTGTGGTACTTTGGCTCGGGGAGGTCACCCATGAACCTCAGCACTGTGATCCAGACGGCCAGGGCGGCCTGCAGATGGAGGGAGCAAGAGAATGATGCGGAGTGACTGTTGTCAGCGTCAGTAATAGTGTATCGGCAGGCCTGGTGGCAGGGGCGGGGCTACAAGGGCATTCAGCCCAGCTGAAAGCTGATTGTCCCCCAGAGTGCCCTCTCCCTTGTCACTCACCGATTCAAAACATATCATTGGCTAATGATAAGGTCAGCCCCTGTTATGCCCCCTGCCTGGTGGTCTGGGAACACCTGCGGGGGACCTACCAGTTGGTCACCTTCGTCCTCATGGTAGAGCAGTGGCTGCTTCAGTGGCCGGCGCATGTAGCTATGCGTGGTCGTGCCCTGGAAGTAGGTGGCAGCAAACTTGGCGAATTTGTACTCCGACAGGTCCTCTTCCTCTTCCTCAGGGAGGGGTAGGGCCTCATCCAGGTCCTCCTCCTCAAGCTCCTTCTGGGTGCGCTCAAGATCCTGTCAAAAGAATGCACACAGACAGAGAATCAGCTAGATGTCGGCCGATCGGCACGCTTTCCAAACTCTTTTCTTGGAATAAGACTGATAACGTCTCCAGTCAGAGTCCTCCAGATACCAAGAGGAGGATGCATTCTGCTCCAGCTGGGCACTAAGCCACTTCGCTCATAACTCAATAGGCTAACTGTTCTCTTTGGAGCCCAGGAAAACCTGCTGGACTCAGCAAGACCCCAGAAATATTACTTTCTGGGGAAATTTAATTAAACAGCTGAATGATCTGAGCTTGGTGGAGATGGTGGGGGGGGGGGGGGGGGGGGGGGGGGGGCGGTGCAGACACTCCTTTTACCTCAAAGCCCGTAGGAGCCTGGCCCTCCTGGCCGGGGAAGGAGCTGGTGGTGCCCAGGAAGCCGAACATCTTGTCGACCATGTCGGAGTCGTTGACAGGCTCATGCCGCGCCTTCTCCGTCTGCTCCAGCAGCTCCTTCTTGCGCCGTGCCTCCTCGCGCTGGCGGCGCTCCCGCTCGGCATCCTCGCGTGCCAGCTGTGCCAGCCGCTCCTGGTGCTTTCGCTCCGCTTCGGCCTTGGCCTTCTTGGCGCTCATCTGGTTACGGAGCCGCTCCTCCTCAGCCAGACGCATCTTCTCGGCCTCCAAGCGGCGCCGGTACTATGAGGGGGTTGGGTATAGGGTTAGGGACGGTGGTGTGGGCGTCTGTCACTCCCCCATCACTCCATCACAGGCAGCACAAATGCAGGGGATTTTCTGCTGTAGCTGTGACCCTTGGGGTCAAAGGTCAGGGGTTAGGATAAAGGTCAAACAGAGAGTGTAGTGGTTAAGGACATGAATTTTTCTGGAACCAAGTTCTGATCCAGGACAAGTCATGCTGTAAAACCTTTGAGTAAAGCACTGAATTATAGTATTACAGTACATTTTCAAGTGTACTGAGTAATTAAATAACTGTAAATTTTAATACACTTACACATCTGAATACTTCATTAAAACAATTTAGGTTTTGCACAGATTTCTTCATTCTCTAATTTATTATTTTTTGTTTATTTTATTATTGATTTTCCTTTACGTATTTATGGTCTTTCTCTTACATTATGCTTTGTTGGTATGTCTTTTTACGCCACTGGATAGGGAAACTTCCCCCTACCAGAAATCAATAAAGATCTATTTTTCAGGTTCAAAGGCACAAGACAAATGCAAAATGTACGTCTTTCACTGCTGTGCCGTTGAAACACATGAGTGTGGAATGGGGCCCACCTCGCCCTTCAGCCTCCTGTACAGCCTGCGCGCGATCATGCCACGCGTGTAGGCCTGGATGGTGATGACTGCCCACAGGCGGTGCCGGAAGGCCCGTCGCACCAGGAAGCCGCGGCCCCGGGCCTGGAAGTGTGTGATGCGTTGCCGGGTCACGTGATAGGTCACATACAGCTTCCGCGAGCGGTACAGGGCCTGCAGGCGCGAGAAGCCAACTCGCATCTGAATGAGAAGAGAAAACAAGGGAGGAGAAACTGGTCAGTAGCCATTTTTAGAGGTTATTTGCCAGATAATGGAACTTTAGAACTACAGATGGGATCTAAGAACTACAAATGGAGCGTTAAAATCACCAATGAAATGTTAGAACCACTAATGAAATGTTAGAACCACTAATGCACCATTAGAACCACCAGTGGAAAGTCAGAAACACCAATGCACCAGAATGTCAATGGGTCATAAGGTCTCTCCCATTCTTTGAAGAACACAGTTAGGAAACTCACTGCACTGTAGTTCTTTCGGCAGTAATAACCCCTCCAGGTCTTCTGGATGAACAGGGCAGACTTCCTCATTTTAAGGAAATTTGATCTGTCAGGGAAAAAAATCCATATTATTAGCCTCTATTGCTAAAACTGTAACAATATGCTGAAAAAATGCAGTATAATCGTTAAGTTACACAGGTCAAGTTTAATACAAAATACCACCATAAAGAGAGAATGTAAGCAGCACAGTGACTAAGCAATCCAGTGATCATAGTTATCTCCGGGAATCCACGTCCGTCCTCTCTTGCTCTTGGTTAAATCCAGCAGTCCAGCCCCTCCTATCCTTGTTCACATCCTCCATGGCCACAGCCCCCACTCTCACCTGTCCTTGAAGCCCCGCACCACCTTCTGGATGAGGATGACCTTGTCGGTGATGGCCTTATCCCGCTCGATCTCCAGCAGCATGTCATGGTGGTCCTGAGAGCAGAAGCGTGTTAAGCATCATACAGTTATATTTATAAACAAGTCAGCCTTCAACTCAAGAGAAAACTTTCATTTGCACGCAGGGGTCTTTTTGATGTATCCGTCTACTGGGCTATCCTGACAGCCGCTCAGGTATGCCCACTTCCAGCAGGGAAGCGTTATTTTTGCCTCCCCCCAGTCTCCATGGGTTGGAGCTTCCTGCCTCGGCAGCTGGAGCACTCTGATAGCGGCCACAGATGAGCTTTCCAAGAACCTTTGACCCGGCGCTGGGGTCTTTCCACTCCACCAAAGCAAAACAGTTTGTACTGCATGCAACACCCCGTGACTGTGGATTAAAACAATGCCCCCCCCTCACAGAACCCTACGGTTAAGTCTATTTAGCACTGACAATGGATTTGTATTTTAAGTATTTTTACACATATCGATCATATCAGAAAAGTCTAGGTGCCGACAGAATTCACCTTGAGGAAGATCTTGGTCTTTCCCATCTGCCAGTCGTCGTCCCTCCCCAGGACAGCTTCTGCGATGCGTTGACAGGTGCCCCGCAGATCTTCCTGAGAACACAGCCGCAATCACAGAGAGATGAATACAAAACAAAACATGGAAAAAAAACACCAGACGAAACAAACGAAACAGCACAATGAGTAACCAAAACGAAACCATACACAGAACCAAAACACACATGAGCACAATGCATTTAAACAAGAATACTAAATGAAAACATGTCTGAACTGTGGATGTCGATGTTTTCCATGGTACACACCAACCCACCTGCTTGTAGGCGGGTTTGACCCCAGGCATGAGGACACGGTAACGGTCCACAAACTCCACGAAGGTGTAACGTATGGGGTAGCCAGCCCGGCGGATGCGGATGGTCTCCATCATGCCGGAGTAGCGCAGCTGGCGGACGCACAGCTCGCGGTCAAACAGCTGGGGGGGGGTGAAAATAGGGCAGGACATTGGGTTACTCCCCAGCAGTCCACATGTACAATTCACACGCAGCATAAAACGTCACATGATCTATGTCGCCACACTCATGGCACACAATCCATAAAGACCCAATAGACAGATAGCAAGAAATCCACATGAACACGCAAACCAAAAAATAAACAGATAGATGACAACAAAAACAAATGGCAGTCCAGCGAACGGACAAAGTGAAAACTACTAATAAACTAAACCATGAACAGGGAGGCCTGTAGATCAGTATGGAACCAAAGATCACAAAAGCAGCTGGTGACACCAAAAGTCATGGATGCTGCCATACTGCCCCATGGAGAGTAACATATACACACAATACCATGGTAAAGGCCCAGACACCAATACTACCGTACTACCGCTCCTCCCATCCGCCATCACTCACCATAGGCTTCTTGAACTCATTGGGCTTGATGCAGCGGACGAAGAAGGGCTGGCACACACTGAGGGTGCGCATCAGCAGCTCCAGCGAGCGCTTGAACTGACTGCTGAGCGTGGGCGAGCGTTTCCGAGTCTCGGCACCCTGTGATTGGGGGGGGGGACGTGGGGGGGCGGGAACAGGAAACAGGGAAGTGGGGATTCAGAGCTGATCCTCCTTCACTTTCCCGTCCAGCCCCCTCATCAACCTCACGCAGGAAGGCGATAACCGCGACTTGATTTTGAGAGCGTTATCGCCCCTTGGGAGAATCGGGAGAGTGGATCGGTGACTCCAGTGTGTCGGCTTTCGAGGTCAAGACCGCCACTGTCGAGCAGAACAAACGTTTTTGCTGACAAGACAGGTAACATAAACCCCACAAAAGAAAAACAAGGACCTGCTTAAAGAAGCACAGACCACAATGACTGAAGTGAGAAGATCTCCCAAGATATAATCAAGAATGTAAAAGTTCTAGTTTGTGTAATTATACTATATTACAATGTTTAAATCCGACACTCATTTCACAACTGACTACAACTAAGACCCACAGTTACACATCTAGTGTGTAAACAGGTCTAATTGTTCAAGAAGCTTTCAACCAGCAACAATCCATGTAGCAAGCAGGCTTCATGGTTGTGAATACCCTTCTTGTCCAGAATCAGCACGCATACCTGAATATTCTAGACTGTTAACATTCCAGGAAATGACCTCATGCAATGAACTGATGAAAATAAGCTGGTCGGGCTTGTTGTGACACACTGGATAGTGGTTTATGACCCAGCCTGGAGCAAGCAGCTAAGCAGGATGTGCTGCCCTCAGGACCACTGGAAGGGGTCACTGGATAAGCGGCAGGATGGGCGCAGCAGCAGCGGCAGGGAGAGCCGGGCAGGTTAGCAGCAGATGCATCATGGGAGTCGGGAGAGCAGCAACGTGGGCGTGAATTATCGTTACCTTTGAAGGAGGGATGTCTGACGGAATGAGAAGAGCACCGGCGGCATAGCCACACAGAAACTGAGGTGCAGAGGTGGCGATTCAGGCGGAGGGAGGAGAGAGGTCTCATTAGCAAAGCCAGAGTAGAAACAGACAAGGGAAGGGGGTTCGACTGAATACGACTTCACCTGCAACAAGGTCTTCAGCACGACTAAAGGAATTAGCCTGGTTTACGACTTCAGGTTGGTTGTTTGGTTTCAACACCTGGTTGGTTACCTGGATGAGTAGCCCTGGTTAGTCTGTCTAGGGGGGGGTTCAGGTTATTTCAGGAGATGGTGATGTAACAATCAAATCCATTTAGGGAATAATGACAATCGCGCATTCCGAACCATTCCAGCACGCCGTCACAGCAGACACATCCTAATAATGATCCCTTAGCAACATTACCATAGCAACATCAGCCTGGAAAATCTGTTTGATAAACTTGTTCCTGGAGGAGTGGACCAGCTGGATGATGTCGCCATGCAAGGTGTCTCTGTTCTTCTCCAGGAAGCCTGGAATTTGGAACGACTGATTTACTTTCTGGCAGATGCCTTCATTAAGTAGAGTAATGAACTGTATGTCACCATTCAATTCTTTTTCTTTTTTTTTAGAAGTATCAACACCAACCCTGTGATTAACTTTGAGTGAATACAGGTTGGAAACACTACTCACCCCTCGTCTCATAATAAACCACCCCAGCGAAGTGCTGGATTCCAAACTGGGTTTCGTAAGTGTTCTTTGGGGGGATGTAATTGGTGTTCAGTTTGTGCTGGGAGTTGAGTTTATTCAGCATGGTAGTGTCAGTACCCTGGGAACACAGAACCAGTAACGTTTGGAGTAAATGTTCTCTCATTACTATCAAAGTGCACTTTGTTTCCAGAGCTTCCTCAGCCCCCAGCATCACATCCGTCATCAGCTCCGGAACGCTACCTTGGGGAACTTGCTCTCCTCGTCGATGAGCGAGATGATGTTCATGGGCTTGATGGCGATCATGTCGAGGGCGTCCTGGTTGTCGGTGAACTCGATGTGCTGCCAGTTGATGTTCTCCAGGTTGTACTCCTCCTGCTCCAGCTTGAACACATGCCGCACGAAGAACTGCTGCAGGTTCTCGTTGGCGAAGTTAATGCACAGCTGCTCAAAACTGGAGAACCGATCAAATCAGCTGAGAAGAAGGAAGTGAACTAAAGACTCATCAAAACACAGGATTCAGACTGGGGTATTTCCTCTATAAAGAAAAAGCCCTTATGTCTCTATGAGTAACAGAAAATCATTGATTCAAGCCATCCAATAAGGTTGCATAACTGATGTCATGGGACGCCATTTTATCATGTTACACTAGTGGCCAAAATTTGGGTAACATCCAATTTTTAGAGATTTCTGAACTTTATTCAATTGTTGCTCCAGTTACTCATGTAATCATCCAATGTATGATATTTGTTACATTATTTGATTGTTTATAAACATTCGTGCCAATATTCATGTAGTAATGTTTAAAGCATAATGCTAAAAATTCGAGGTGGTCACTAGTGTAGATATGTGTCTAACAGAACCTTGAATGTAGTGACCTTCTCACGTAACGTTGAACAATGTGTGAGGATCTGCAGGAATCGCTGGCGGCAGCTACTCCAGACTCGCCTGTTGNCACCATAAGGTCTCTCCCATTCTTTGAAGAACACAGTTAGGAAACTCACTGCACTGTAGTTCTTTCGGCAGTAATAACCCCTCCAGGTCTTCTGGATAAACAGGGCAGACTTCCTCATTTTAAGGAAATTTGATCTGTCAGGGAAAAAAATCCATATTATTAGCCTCTATTGCTAAAACTGTAACAATATGCTGAAAAAATGCAGTATAATCGTTAAGTTACACAGGTCAAGTTTAATACAAAATACCACCATAAAGAGAGAATGTAAGCAGCACAGTGACTAAGCAATCCAGTGATCATAGTTATCTCCGGGAATCCACGTCCGTCCTCTCTTGCTCTTGGTTAAATCCAGCAGTCCAGCCCCTCCTATCCTTGTTCACATCCTCCATGGCCACAGCCCCCACTCTCACCTGTCCTTGAAGCCCCGCACCACCTTCTGGATGAGGATGACCTTGTCGGTGATGGCCTTATCCCGCTCGATCTCCAGCAGCATGTCATGGTGGTCCTGAGAGCAGAAGCGTGTTAAGCATCATACAGTTATATTTATAAACAAGTCAGCCTTCAACTCAAGAGAAAACTTTCATTTGCACGCAGGGGTCTTTTTGATGTATCCGTCTACTGGGCTATCCTGACAGCCGCTCAGGTATGCCCACTTCCAGCAGGGAAGCGTTATTTTTGCCTCCCCCCAGTCTCCATGGGTTGGAGCTTCCTGCCTCGGCAGCTGGAGCACTCTGATAGCGGCCACAGATGAGCTTTCCAAGAACCTTTGACCCGGCGCTGGGGTCTTTCCACTCCACCAAAGCAAAACAGTTTGTACTGCATGCAACACCCCGTGACTGTGGATTAAAACAATGCCCCCCCCTCACAGAACCCTACGGTTAAGTCTATTTAGCACTGACAATGGATTTGTATTTTAAGTATTTTTACACATATCGATCATATCAGAAAAGTCTAGGTGCCGACAGAATTCACCTTGAGGAAGATCTTGGTCTTTCCCATCTGCCAGTCGTCGTCCCTCCCCAGGACAGCTTCTGCGATGCGTTGACAGGTGCCCCGCAGATCTTCCTGAGAACACAGCCGCAATCACAGAGAGATGAATACAAAACAAAACATGGAAAAAAAACACCAGACGAAACAAACGAAACAGCACAATGAGTAACCAAAACGAAACCATACACAGAATCAAAACACACATGAGCACAATGCATTTAAACAAGAATACTAAATGAAAACATGTCTGAACTGTGGATGTCGATGTTTTCCATGGTACACACCAACCCACCTGCTTGTAGGCGGGTTTGACCCCAGGCATGAGGACACGGTAACGGTCCACAAACTCCACGAAGGTGTAACGTATGGGGTAGCCAGCCCGGCGGATGCGGATGGTCTCCATCATGCCGGAGTAGCGCAGCTGGCGGACGCACAGCTCGCGGTCAAACAGCTGGGGGGGGGTGAAAATAGGGCAGGACATTGGGTTACTCCCCAGCAGTCCACATGTACAATTCACACGCAGCATAAAACGTCACATGATCTATGTCGCCACACTCATGGCACACAATCCATAAAGACCCAATAGACAGATAGCAAGAAATCCACATGAACACGCAAACCAAAAAATAAACAGATAGATGACAACAAAAACAAATGGCAGTCCAGCGAACGGACAAAGTGAAAACTACTAATAAACTAAACCATGAACAGGGAGGCCTGTAGATCAGTATGGAACCAAAGATCACAAAAGCAGCTGGTGACACCAAAAGTCATGGATGCTGCCATACTGCCCCATGGAGAGTAACATATACACACAATACCATGGTAAAGGCCCAGACACCAATACTACCGTACTACCGCTCCTCCCATCCGCCATCACTCACCATAGGCTTCTTGAACTCATTGGGCTTGATGCAGCGGACGAAGAAGGGCTGGCACACACTGAGGGTGCGCATCAGCAGCTCCAGCGAGCGCTTGAACTGACTGCTGAGCGTGGGCGAGCGTTTCCGAGTCTCGGCACCCTGTGATTGGGGGGGGGGACGTGGGGGGGCGGGAACAGGAAACAGGGAAGTGGGGATTCAGAGCTGATCCTCCTTCACTTTCCCGTCCAGCCCCCTCATCAACCTCACGCAGGAAGGCGATAACCGCGACTTGATTTTGAGAGCGTTATCGCCCCTTGGGAGAATCGGGAGAGTGGATCGGTGACTCCAGTGTGTCGGCTTTCGAGGTCAAGACCGCCACTGTCGAGCAGAACAAACATTTTGCTGACAAGACAGGTAACATAAACCCCACAAAAGAAAAACAAGGACCTGCTTAAAGAAGCACAGACCACAATGACTGAAGTGAGAAGATCTCCCAAGATATAATCAAGAATGTAAAAGTTCTAGTTTGTGTAATTATACTATATTACAATGTTTAAATCCGACACTCATTTCACAACTGACTACAACTAAGACCCACAGTTACACATCTAGTGTGTAAACAGGTCTAATTGTTCAAGAAGCTTTCAACCAGCAACAATCCATGTAGCAAGCAGGCTTCATGGTTGTGAATACCCTTCTTGTCCAGAATCAGCACGCATACCTGAATATTCTAGACTGTTAACATTCCAGGAAATGACCTCATGCAATGAACTGATGAAAATAAGCTGGTCGGGCTTGTTGTGACACACTGGATAGTGGTTCATGACCCAGCCCGGAGCAAGCAGCTAAGCAGGATGTGCTGCCCTCAGGACCACTGGAAGGGGTCACTGGATAAGCGGCAGGATGGGCGCAGCAGCAGCGGCAGGGAGAGCCGGGCAGGTTAGCAGCAGATGCATCATGGGAGTCGGGAGAGCAGCAACGTGGGCGTGAATTATCGTTACCTTTGAAGGAGGGATGTCTGACGGAATGAGAAGAGCACCGGCGGCATAGCCACACAGAAACTGAGGTGCAGAGGTGGCGATTCAGGCGGAGGGAGGAGAGAGGTCTCATTAGCAAAGCCAGAGTAGAAACAGACAAGGGAAGGGGGTTCGACTGAATACGACTTCACCTGCAACAAGGTCTTCAGCACGACTAAAGGAATTAGCCTGGTTTACGACTTCAGGTTGGTTGTTTGGTTTCAACACCTGGTTGGTTACCTGGATGAGTAGCCCTGGTTAGTCTGTCTAGGGGGGGGTTCAGGTTATTTCAGGAGATGGTGATGTAACAATCAAATCCATTTAGGGAATAATGACAATCGCGCATTCCGAACCATTCCAGCATGCCGTCACAGCAGACACATCCTAATAATGATCCCTTAGCAACATTACCATAGCAACATCAGCCTGGAAAATCTGTTTGATAAACTTGTTCCTGGAGGAGTGGACCAGCTGGATGATGTCGCCATGCAAGGTGTCTCTGTTCTTCTCCAGGAAGCCTGGAATTTGGAACGACTGATTTACTTTCTGGCAGATGCCTTCATTAAGTAGAGTAATGAACTGTATGTCACCATTCAATTCTTTTTCTTTTTTTTTAGAAGTATCAACACCAACCCTGTGATTAACTTTGAGTGAATACAGGTTGGAAACACTACTCACCCCTCGTCTCATAATAAACCACCCCAGCGAAGTGCTGGATTCCAAACTGGGTTTCGTAAGTGTTCTTTGGGGGGATGTAATTGGTGTTCAGTTTGTGCTGGGAGTTGAGTTTATTCAGCATGGTAGTGTCAGTACCCTGGGAACACAGAACCAGTAACGTTTGGAGTAAATGTTCTCTCATTACTATCAAAGTGCACTTTGTTTCCAGAGCTTCCTCAGCCCCCAGCATCACATCCGTCATCAGCTCCGGAACGCTACCTTGGGGAACTTGCTCTCCTCGTCGATGAGCGAGATGATGTTCATGGGCTTGATGGCGATCATGTCGAGGGCGTCCTGGTTGTCGGTGAACTCGATGTGCTGCCAGTTGATGTTCTCCAGGTTGTACTCCTCCTGCTCCAGCTTGAACACATGCCGCACGAAGAACTGCTGCAGGTTCTCGTTGGCGAAGTTAATGCACAGCTGCTCAAAACTGGAGAACCGATCAAATCAGCTGAGAAGAAGGAAGTGAACTAAAGACTCATCAAAACACAGGATTCAGACTGGGGTATTTCCTCTATAAAGAAAAAGCCCTTATGTCTCTATGAGTAACAGAAAATCATTGATTCAAGCCATCCCATAAGGTTGCATAACTGATGTCATGGGACGCCATTTTATCATGTTACACTAGTGGCCAAAATTTGGGTAACATCCAATTTTTAGAGATTTCTGAACTTTATTCAATTGTTGCTCCAGTTACTCATGTAATCATCCAATGTATGATATTTGTTACATTATTTGATTGTTTATAAACATTCGTGCCAATATTCATGTAGTAATGTTTAAAGCATAATGCTAAAAATTCGAGGTGGTCACTAGTGTAGATATGTGTCTTACCGAACCTTGAATGTAGTGACCTTCTCACGTAACGTTGAACAATGTGTGAGGATCTGCAGGAATCGCTGGCGGCAGCTACTCCAGACTCGCCTGTTGTTGGTGAAGTTCTCAAAGCCGAAGATGTCCAGCAGGCCGATGGAGCGTCGCACGGCCTTGGGTTCGGTGGATGGAGGCTTGTAGATGGCAGCGTTGATCTTGTCCACGATCCAAACGAACAACCTGCCGTAAATCCCCTAGGATTCACAGTCATGCGAATGTTAGACACACTCTGATAACAGTTGGTATGATTCCGATTACCACTGTC